GTGTCAAGTTGACATAAAACCAATCAGCACACCCCTACAGACCATTCCTTAGTGTTTTTCACTAAGACTTTCCCAGAGGGCATAACTAAGCTTGTCATTCCCCCCACCCCCCCACAAGGGGTTAGCGCACTCCCTGCTGTAAAGCAGACACCAACAGTTTCAAGGACTGGAACCAACCTTAAATGGCAAAGAACACTCTCTGAATTATCATAAAAATGTTTAAGTAAAAAAAAAAAAGAAAAAGAGTAAAGGGGCAATAATGGTGGTTTTCAGAATGAAAGTATCATTCATGTTCCATGTCATACATTCAATCTTGGCTCTAGCGTAACAAAATGGAAACAGGATTACTATCATACAAAATGTTCACTACAGCACGCTGTATGCACCTGTTCCAAGCCCACCCCCAGCCCCTAATGCTTCCGACTCAACTACTTCCCAGCTTGCTGGGCCTGTGGAGAAGGAGCGGTCAGATCTCTTTGATCCAGTCTGTGTGTCAACTAACTAAACTAAGACAGTCGAGACCCTCCAGGTCATCAAAAAACCTAGCGACGGAGTGAAACCGTGTGCAGCAGAGGGGCTGCTGGGATATCTTCAGACGTTCTTCAGACGTTTTACAGTCTCCTTTCTTGCATTATTCACTCACAGATTCATTGCGAGTCCTGCCTTCTAGTTCTTGGTAGGCTGTACCAACAAAATGATGTGAGACATGGTGCCAAATGCTTTGCAGGAGAGGGACGTTTGCGGTGTCCCGTAGAGGTTTGGCCCGAAACCGCAGCGGGTGACTACACCATGCAGACATAGTTTGGGTTTGGAGTTAATTGAGGGAGAGAGAGAAGGCAGAGACCTGCTGTAACCAGAGACCAGGAGTGGGTGGACATTGTCTCTTTTTTTTTTAATATTTATTTATTTATTTATTATGTATACAATGTTCTGTCTGTGTGTATCCCTGCAGGCCAGGAGAGGGCACCAGACCTCATTACAGATGGTTGTGAGCCACCATGTGGTTGCTGGGAATTGAACTCAGGACCTTTGGAAGAGCAGGCAATGCTCTTAACCGCTGAGCCCTCTCTCCAGCCCTGGAAGTTGTCTCTTAAAGGGACTTTTGCACCTGCACACAAACCAGGACCCTGAGCTGGCCAGGGTACAGCCTGGGTACATCCTATCAGGTGACAGGGCAGGCCAGCAGACTGCCTGAGTCCTAACAGCCACTCCACACCAGGATCTGGATTCTTGGTTTTCACCTCTGCTGCACAGAGGCCTCTGGGACTAAGAAGGCAGAACCAGTTCAGAGCAGAATCAAGGCGCAGGCCCGGCGTTTCTAATCAATCCCTGCTGTAGACAAGAACGGATCTGCTGGCTCACTAAGACCCACAAAGCTCAGAGTGCTTAACCCCGCGGTTAATTGCACACACACATATACAGCTGTTTAGAAAGATTGCAGAAGGGACTGGGGAGAGGGCTCCAGGGGGTTAAGTGCTTATGCATGAGAATCTGAGTTCCCCAGGACCCACACACAAAACCTGGGCCTGAAAGTCCAGCCCCGGAGGACAGAGACTGGAGGATTCCGGGGGCTCACTGGACAGCCGGTCTAGCCAAAGCAGAGAGCTCCAGTTCGGTGAGAGAGCCCATCTCAAGAGAGGAGGTGGTGAGCAGCTGAGGAGGAGATCCTGGTGTCAACCTCCGACTTCCACACACATTTGCACAAAGAGTCACTTAGACACGCTTGTCTATGTGTACCAAAGAAGAAACGAGTTCAGGAGAAAGTGTAAAGCCCACCTCACCGGTTTAAATCGCCACGCACCAACATGGGGCCTCACCCTGGCGATACCAGGACCCCTGTGTCTGGGCAGGGTAGCCTGGAGAGGCAGCAGGAGCTCAGCCCTGAGAGGCAGGTAGGCAGGGCGGGATGCCCTGTGTGTTGAGGTGGACAGGACAAGTCTCCTTCAGTGACACTTAGAAATGCTAAACACTGACCTAGCTGCATCCACAGGCAGGACAAAAGCCTGGCCCCTCTGCCTTTGCTTTGTGTCTGTCTCCTTTGTGTCAATGTCTTGCTTACTTAAG